CTGTTCCTCCTATGGAAATTTATATGCAAGTTTGGAGACATTTAGACATCATGAGAGAAATTGGCAATTGAAAGAAACATGTTCCAGTCTATAACCATCAGTCCTTCACCCATTTGTATGATGAAGAATTATGCCAGGTGTGGTGGTACATGCCTTTAATCCCAGCACCCAGGAGGCAGAAGCAGGCAGATCTCTGTGATACTGAGGTCAGCCTGGTCTACATAGTGAGAGCCTGCCTCAACAAAAAAACACACAACAAAACAAGAATTGTGGCCCAAACAAAATCATATGAATATAAAAATTGAACAGCTCTCTTTGGAATGAATTTACCTATATAGATCTCATTTTGAATTATAAAATCATACAAATTTAATTGCTTTTTGATATTAAGAGCAGTAATAAAGCACCCAGGAGTCAGGGTCAGGGCAGGTTAACAACTGTTTGGTTCTACAGTTGGCCAGCCTTATGCCCATTGGTGAAACATTTCACCTGACAAATGCTTTCAGTCACTTTGTAAATCGAGGGGTTTGAACTAAGTGTGTCTATGGCATCTACAGAGTTAAAACATGAGGATATTCTCATTTGCCTATAAAGAACATTATTGCTCTTTCAGTCTCCCTGTGTTCTGACAAAGTAATAAAATGACTTGATAGGCTTTAACATATATGACAGAGTGCATGAAATCTGGTGGGGGGCTATGGAGGGGTATGGAAGAGGGAGGGGGCATGGAGATGATTAAGATTTGTTTGTATGAAATGTGTAATAATTCGATAAAAAAGAAATAGAAGAAAATCATTTTTGTGATTGAAGGCCAGGGTTGGCACTTCAGCTGTAGTTATCCCCCTTGAAGTACTCTCTTCTGACAGACAGTGACTTTGCTGCCTGTGCTCACAGTGTCCATCTGCCTTGTAGATTCCTGAAGCTGCACTTATTGAGAGAAAGCAGCCTCTGACTTCCTTCCTTGTGCTCTCTGCTGAAGATGAGTAAGGCATTCCCTTGCTTTCTTCCTTCTTATCAGTCAGTGGCTCTCGTCTTGCTGTGACATGTTCCACAGTCCAGGGAGCTGAGGGCTTTGTGATGTGTTAATGCTTCTGTTAGGACTTCTCTAGACTGAATCAGGACATATCAGTGGTTGGGAGGCTAACACATAATTTGATCATGAACTCTTAGGTAAAAGGACACAAGAAAGCTCTCTTCAAACATACAGGGTATTTTATTAGGTTGTATTACAATGTTCGTGAAGCTTTTATATGATGTTAAAATTAAAGTCATAAATTCTTTCCAGATGAAAATATTTTCCATTTGTTTGACTAAATAATTGATGTAATTACCTGACACCTTAATTTAAAAAAAAATTCTGTTGAGTTTTCCAACAAAACTTTTAATCACATTCATCTACATTGAACACATGTTAGCCTTGCTAATAATACTGAATATTATTAATGAAATTTTGGTCTCATAGGTGAAAATTTGTAGTATTTTAATTGAACTGTCTTGACAGTTAATAGGATTCAGTGATTTTTGTACATGTATTACCCACTTATGGTTTATTTTAAATTACTTGATTATATCTCTGTACATTTCTCAATTGGCTTGTTATAACAAATGCTCTTTAGTAAAATTCACAGTAGTACAGTTAAGTATAAAGAATCACCCTAAGTACTAAACAAACATCACTGAACAGGTCATATAGAGATATTCAGATGGAACTTATGTTCTAAGGAGATTAAAAAATAGCCCAAAATATCAGATGCAGGTGTTAATATTAAAGTAGTGGCCATGATCAAGATTTACTGACAAGGTAATTTGAGATGATTAGAGAGCTGTCCAGACAAAGTTGAATTAATATTGAGATATGATTGTCAGGAACATCTGGTAAAACATCTTTTCAGTGATGGAAACAACTAGAAAGAATGGATGAGTTTGGAGTGCTCCAGGAAGAGAAAGATGGCCGTGGTGTTAGAGGAGGGAGGAAAAACGGGAAGACAGATGCTTGGGTAAGACGGAAGGCATAGCCTATGGATAGCCTGATAGTCCAGGTAAAGGTTTAGTTTCATTCCTAGAATGTAGGGAAACAATCAGAGCTTTCTATAAAGGAGCAAAACAGTGCAATTCAAACCTTAACAAAACAGTAGGTATGAAACGAACTGTTGGGAACAGGAATATGAATCTAATCAGGAAGCTAAGGCAGTCACCTAGGTAAGAGCTGATAGAGACATGGTGTAGAAGATGCTGTTGGTAGTCAGCCCTGATTCCCTTTATCCACTTAGTACATTCATTTCATATTTAGTAGTCATTATATGGCATCATCATATAGTGATGTCATCATATTACATCAACAAGAGAGTTCCCTTGCTCAAAGATGAGGCTGAGCCTATGGTATAAGATGCTCTATCATTCCCTCTGGGATCAACCTGCAGTCAGTCTTCCTGCCTAGCTCTTGCATCCTATCATTTTCTGCTTCTCTTGTGTTTCTGCCCCTTGTCCTCAATCAATTGCCTGAACAAGAATCTTCGTTTCAGGGTCTTCCTTTAGGGGACAGAACCCAAAACATGGTTTAGGATAGTAGAGATTGAAACAGAGCAAAGAGAATGGATTAGCAATGTTCTGAAGACAAGGTCCACAGAAATGGACCTGGAATATGAGCAAAATATAAATTAAAATAGTTCCTAAACTTTGTCAAGAAACTTGATGGGGAAAGGCACTAATTGCATATAGGATGTATCTGAAAGAAGCATATTTGCAAAGTAGAGAAGGAAAATTAATTATCCTGAGTAAGTTTTAGATAGCCACAAATGGGCACATCAGGTAAGCAAATGAATATATTAGTCTTTTACTAAAGGACATTTCAGCAGGAGGATCTAGATATAAGACTCAACAGTGATATTTACATGGTACTTCAAAGGATACTGCTGAATAGGAATATCTGTGGTGGGAGAATGAATGAAGAAAGGAAGTTCCCCATGATTGAGTCCTAGCATGGACTAGCATACTCAGTGTTGGGTATCCTAGTTAGAGGGTGAGCAGAGAAGGGAAATCAAGCATATTCGCCAAGGAATGGCCAGTGAATAGTGAGGAAACTGGAGAGTGCTGTGTCTCAGGAGCCAGGACTATAAAGTGTTTTGAGGAGGATGTGGCCCTAAAGGCTCAATACAGCAAGTTGCTGATGAAAATGAAGACAAAACAGCCCTCGCGGTGTGGCAATAGGGAGCTATCAGTAACTCCAGTAATAAGATTTTGACAAGAGACAGTTTTGAGATGGTGGATATATATCTCCAAATTCATCAAGCTTATACATTAAATGTATGCAAATTTTTACATCCCAATAAAAAATACAAAAATTCAATTAAAAAATAAAAAAGGAGAGAATTGGAGATTAAGAAGCAAACTTTTGAGCTAAGTATCTTCTGAGAGCCATAGTAGTAGAGGAAACAGTAATTTAAATGGGGCAGTCAGAGAACTATCTTGTCTTAGTTGACACCATTAGGAGAAAGGAATTGGTTGTCCAGGAGAGAGATGAATCATAGGAGAAAATGCTAGAATAGACAAGACATGACAGGAACTGTTGAGCTTGAACAGAGGTTGCCTCTGTTCTTAAGCACCTAAAACCTCCAACGGAAGGGAACACCTCAGAATCAGCAACGAAGAGAGATTCATAGATGTGCAGTGGGCAGCTGGATTAAGTTTTGACTGACTCTTTGTTTTTAATGAAACATGAAATAGCCTCAGTGGGTAGGTAGAGGTACAGTCAATGGTTTGGAGATTGGAGAAGGGCCGGATGAAACAGTTGTGTTGAGGACTTAAGGAACCTATTTTCAGGTTTATAAATGTGTAATATAATTTCCTTATACTTTTGGGTATCCCTTTGTTGCATGTACTCATAATTTTAAACAAATCACCTCATTAGAGCTGTCAGTTCATGTCATAATGTGTGGTGTGGACAAGAAATAGTAGTTTAGTTTAACATCAGGGTTTTATCAGAAAAACATAAGTGAGTTAAGGAATTTGCAGGATACTGATTAAGAAGATAGGCTATTAACCTGAAGCTGAAAGGCAGGGTGGAATGAAAAGTAGGGAGGTTAATGAATTTTTATGAAGTTGAGGAGATGCTGTTGTAGACATGGAATATATGAGCTTGCATGATAAAGAGGAAATAAGATCATGGGCGTTTAACACACACCATCAGAGATAATAGAAGCATCTATCATAACCAGATCAGAAGTGTGACCATGAAGCAGGTGGGTTATATAGGATATATTAATGAAAGGATGAGTTTGAGTAACAGCAAGGAAATGGCATTGCCTACATAACCCACAACGTCCTCAAACTTGGGAAGCAGGTGGTGACATAGCGAATAGTCATCAATGAATAGAGAGATGGAGAGATGGTGAAATGTAATTTATTTAAGATCTCATCAATTATGTGAACATTCTTCGTATTTAAAGTTTACTGTGTGAATGGTATAAAATCACAAAATAAGACACAAACCTCCCATCCCATAACTTCATGACAAGATGGTGGGTCTTGACTAAGCCCTGACTCTGGTTTGTTTATCTCTGGCTTGGAGTTCTACATACTTCGCAATTGTCATGGAAATGTTGATGGGCTTTGTATCAATCTGAGTGTGAGTCTTGACCTGGAGCCAGATGAAGCCAGTTGACCTTTAAAGTCCAATGCTCACATCTCTCCCAAGTGGTTAAAATTCAGGACAGACATTATTAATCATGGCTGTAAAATAGGGCAGCAATCTTTCCTTTCACAAAACTAGTACCACTGTGGATGCCCCAACTCACATAATTTCTGTTGACTTTCCCAGAGTTGATTGGTTGCATCTGGTTACTCTCTTCTGCACCCAGATCTCCCCCAGTCCAAGTTATGCTTACAAGTTATTTGGCAAGTGGGTCCTCTCCACTCCCAGAGACTAGCAGGCTCTCCTTCCAGTTTGTGCGGCCTGTGACTGACATGGTAATCTTGAACATCTGGTGATTGTTTCTGGACAGGGAATTACGGCGAGAGTGGAATGGATGCTTTCAAAGAGTTGGCTGCCCAGGAAGGCCTCTGCATCGCGCATTCGGACAAAATCTACAGCAATGCGGGCGAGAAGAGCTTTGACCGGCTCCTGCGCAAGCTCCGGGAGCGGCTTCCCAAGGCTAGGGTTGTGGTCTGCTTCTGCGAGGGCATGACGGTGCGCGGGCTCCTGAGCGCCATGCGGCGCCTGGGCGTCGTGGGCGAGTTCTCACTCATTGGAAGGTAACTCTCTCTCTCTCTCTCTCTCTCTCTCTCTCTCTCTCTCTCTCTCTCT